TTTGAAGACACTATAATCCTTCTTTAAGCCGCTCAAATCTTCTCCAGGTGAAGAAACTTTTAAGTGTGCCTCAAAGTCTGCCATTCGCTGTTTTAATGAAGCAATGACCAACCGATGAGTCTCCGCAAGGTCATCAATAGTAGTCATCCTGAATATTGTGTTTGTATTATGTAGCTGCTCGTACCACTTGTGAATATAAAGCAATTGGAAAGTGACAAGTCACCGGCTAGTTGATGATTCCCAGTTTATATCATAGGGAAATAGTTTCCCACACAGTATATAATTGATTCCGAGTCACTGACTTGATATAAACGAAAATCCCAAAAAAAATATGAGTTTAACTAATATTTATGTAATTTAAAAACAGAGCACATAATATAGCGACTTATTTACACATACCCCCACCAACGAACTCGCTTAAATTATGTATCTTTGTCCGCGATTACCTCGCGATTGGTAAACCTGATTGGAATGCTATTGAAAAATGAAAAAAGTGTTGGCGACACTTAAGAGGTTTTATTTTATTAACCGATTACAAAAAATAGAAGTCAAGCCAATTTTTAAAAACTTAGTCTCTTTTTTTATATTTGATGGGGCGACGTTTGAACACTATATCGCCTGGTGGTAAGCGATGATGCGGTCTACGATGGAGCACGTCATCCCATAAGCAACCTATTCACTCAGGCCTTGAAGACACCCAGGTATATACCCTTGAGGAAATACAGATTCTCGCAAAGATTTCCACTCTTTAGCAGTACGCACAAGGAAGCTTGAAGCGAACCGCTTCGTGCGTGTGGCCGGAAAATCTCGCTAAAACTCAGAAACGGCTTAACCGATGTTGCTGATTTTGGTCCTGAAATGTTTGTGGAAGTCCAGGGAAGATTTAAGAGGTGAGAAAAATAAACTTTTTAGGCGGTACGAAGTAGGCCGGGTCAGCTAGTTATATCAATAAGATTTGCGTGTAGATTATGATAAATCCTGCTCCGTAGTGAAATCCTACAGATTACTGTTATGGATGACGTCACTGTTTATATGGTTAGTCATATTAAGGATGTCCTATGTTGTAAGTTTTGTATCATAAATCGTTATGAGTTGCTATCTATTAGACGCCGACAAAATTAATCTCGAAGTGAAAGTTACAAAATAATTGCATAAAATAGGTAGTATAAAGTCTATAAACTGAATCATTTTCTCATTTAAATTATGATTCATTTAGTTTTACTATAACAATGCTGTTTTACTGTTTACGAAATAGACTTTAAAATTAATTTTACTGTAACATAATGCCAAAGGCCTGTAATATTTGCTACCTTCTCGTGATCCAGAATGCTATATAACTTTAAAAGAAATAAAATGAAATTTTTACATCGGTCACTATAATGCTACGTGTTTCGTAGCTCGTAGCCTGTAGCCCGTAGCCGATTGCTACGTGCTACGTGTAGCTCACTTCGTAGCCGATATGTAGCACGCTCGTAACCGCAATGTAGGCTGCATTCAAAATTTAGTTCGACCAAAATGTAGTGGGAATTTGTGAAACTATTGCTTTAGTTATACATGTTACAATAGAAACGAACTGTAATATTCTAATAGTCACTGTAGGAAAATGGACAGAATTGACCAAACATATGGATACAATTCACAAACATGTGGAATAATGGAACATCAAGCAATCATGAATCAGTCGAAGTAGATAACAAATTGAACTCGGTGCTAGTGCAACTCTTTTCGGTATTTTGTGAGCCTTCTGAAGCAATACAACTACACAATAGAACCGAAGTTATTCTCAAGAGAGATATAAATTTTTGCAATTTCCTAAACTTCGATGGTATCCATTATCATTCCGAATAAATTACAAATACCTTGGCGATAGAATTTAACAACAATTAAAACATAATCTAAATTCTAAATAGCTTTATAATTGCCAGTGGTATTTCGTTAACAAACTTCGTTAATTTAAAATCGTTTAATTTACGAAATCTGATCGATTAGACGTCTGATGAGGCGTTGTAACGACGTTAAAGGTTTTTTGCGAAAAAATTTGCCGCGTCATGCTTTAATGAAACTAATGGAAGTCATTATTGGAATCTAATTTTTATTTTGGAATTGACCTGAGAATTTGGAACTAGACACGATATCTAGTAATTTGTTAGGTATGTTCCTTTAACTACTTTGTGGAATCATAATGTGTAATAATTTTAGTTAACTGTTTATAGCTTTTAAATCATTTTCAAGGCAGAATGCAATATTTATTTTTTATTAAACTCTTTTTTGACTGCCTCGTTGGCCAAGTGGTCGCAAGTGCGATTCCCGGGTCGGGCAAAGTATTACTGGGTTTTTTTTATCTCAGATGTAGCACGGAGTCATGAACTGTGCCCGGTATATGGCAATAGACTCACCCTCTATTACATGGGACTCATAACATAAATAGTGAAAAGTGGGTGTTACATTGTACAGTGGCATAATGTGCACCTCTGCCTACCCCTTCGGGGATAATAGGCGTGATTTTGTGTCTGTATACAAACTCTTTTTTGTACATACAATTACATAATGGCGGACTGAATGCCATATGACTTTCTCTACTAGCCAACCGCAGGGTGATGCAGAGAAGTGTTTCAGTAGGATACAGACAAGTTTGTATCTTTTGAAAAACGAAGGTGCTAAATTTACAGGTGTACATATGAACA